CAATCCACGATCAAAAAAGTATTAACAGCAGCTGGCCCAGTGGCATAGTGTTTAAGTTCTCACACTCTGCTCTGGCAGCCCAGGGTTTGTGGGTTTGGATGCCAGGCACGGACCTACACTGTGCTCATCAAGCCATGCTGTGGAGGCATCTCACATTCAAAAACTAGAGGAAGATGGGCATGAATGTTAGCTTCAATTCTTTCTTGCCCATAGTTTGACTGGGATGTTTTCTTCCAGTTCTCTTGTTGGTTTTCTGTCTCAGATCCAGTTCTGGAATTCCCTATTCTAAGCCTAAAGTCTAGTCCATGAACATCCAGGGGCAGGGACTCTGTTATTCCATGTTTCTGCTCCCAGCCAGCACAGGACCCAGCACAGCACAACCACTCGTTAAATGTTAACAGGGGAAAAGTGAATGAATTGTGTGAGAAAGCCCACCATCACCCACTCAGGAGCCTTTCATATTTCTCTGAGTCTCTACTCCAAAGACTAGATGACCATCAAGGAATCCTGCTGACGACCTGCACCTTCTGGGTGCCCTTCTGCAGCTCAGCTGTGCTCCCAGGATGGCGCGTGGTACTTAACCACTACATGCACACTGTGAACAGAGAGGGGCAGATAGCAGGCTGGGTAGAAAGAGCCCCAGGCTGCAGTTCAACTCTGAGGAACCCTCCAGAAGCCAGTGGAAGCTTCATTGCAAAGAGAGGCATCCTGGGACGGGCAGAAATGGGATCTAGCTTCTCCCCGGCACACGGCAACTTGTTCTGCAGTTTACAAACTGGCTCAGGAAATCCAGGCTGGAAGGTGCCTTAGAGGTCATCTGGGTGACAGTGTTGAGAAGAACCGTGTGCAGCGACGGAGACCCTCCCTACCTGCCCCGTCCGACACCACAGCTGCTAACCTCACATAGCTGCGACTGCCTGAAAGGTGACTCGTGTGACTGGAGACCTGAACTTTGTCATTTCATTAATTTAAACTTGAACTTGAGTAATCTCATGTGTCTACCAGTTTAGACAGCACAGATCCAGAGTCCAATTCTTCTAAGTGAAGAAACAGAGACACAATGGAACATATCCAGACACGTTAGGTAGGGGGTTAAGGAGAGGCCCAGGGCTTGAACCCAGTCTTTTCAGTGCAGCCTTCTTTAAATTAACCACTTCTGAGTCAGGATGTAGGACACAGGACTTGTTTAGAAACTCGGGCCTTCGCTTACAAGTGGTTTCTCATATTTAAGGGGCCGCAGACTCTCATCTTTCCTCAAGTGCTTAGCAGCTAATTTCCCGCCAAGGTGTCTCCATCACTATGACAACCCCGGCCCTTCCTCCTTGCTCTTGCCCGTATGTGTGGCTTCGCTCCTCTGACCTCTGGTGCTTGAGAAGTCTTCTGCCTCCTTCACTTCCAAACTCGGGGCTCCTCTATGGTTGCTCAGAGCCCCACGGCCTGCTCTCAGCACCGGACCCAGGTGAGCTGCCGCTGGGAGCCAGAAGTTCCTCTGCTCGGCCGTGACGTAGCCCTCGTGTTAATCCAGCTAAGGCCCCTGCGGATCCAGGGTCTCGGATCCCCTCTCGGGCCTGTTCCTCCTCCCCGATCTAATCCCGCTCCGTCACCTGCAGCCCAGATGGGGAGACCACAAATCCCCAGGAATGCATTCCTAGCAGAGGCCATGTGATTGCTCCAAGGTTTGCCGTTCCTTCCAAGACCTGGAATCCGGCGCCTCCGAGGGCACACACTTCCTCTGGGCCCAAGAGGGCAGAGCGCTTCTCCCAAATCATCTGAAACAGAGGCCGTCGCTGCAGCCAGACAGCTCAAGACAAATCATAACGAAGAGGGCTTTCAGAGCTCCCCCGAGCCTTCTACCCTCTTCACCCCACATCCCCTTCTTTGAATAAAATCATCATCATTTGCAAAACCCCAATAGACATTCTTCTCCTGTGCTGTTTCTCCTGCTTCCCCTTGGATTCTGCGGCTACAGACAGTTACTACATCCAGACCTCTTGGTTCTGTCTTTGCAGCAACGGCATCTTCTGTCGGTTTAACACTGACTTCTCGTTCTCTGAAAATGAGCTACAGCATTGGTGCATGAGGCAGTCAGGCCATGGAAAACGGAAAGGATAAGTTGCTCAGAGAAGTTGAGGACTTCGCTTCAAAATGGAAAGTAGGTGCTGGGACTCCACGTAACACAGAGCTCGGCGTGAGCCACGGGCGTGCGGGTGCCGTGCTGGCTCGCTCACTACCCACATTAACCTAGGAAACATGACGAGTGCCCACATTTAGTGACATGATGACTTCCGTTTACTACGCCTGTGGTGCACCCAGGACTGTGCAGGAGCAGCTCTATCTGAAAATCTCCAGAACGCATGAAAATTCACCAGAGGCAGCTCTTTATTTGGTGCGCAATTCTGTGCCTTTTGGACACTGGGTGTGACACTGCAGCTCCACTTCCGTGGGACAGAGAACATTACATATGGAGTGACGATACAATCATTTGAACCAGGGCTGTTTTGTAAGTGAAAGAAATTGTTCCTATTAACCATCTTGGGATAAGGAAGTCGATGAGGACCGTTCCTGGGAAGAAAGTGTGGTCACCTCATCTTCCTGGAAGCCCTTGCCCATCTCATCCTCCAGGGGTCAGTAGCTGTGAGGCAGGATACCAACCAAGCCAGCCACCACCTAAGTATTGGGTGCTGACTGCCGGCTGGGACTGCATCCCACGGGGCCACCAGTGAGGGACCAGGGTGCGAGGAGACGAAAGAGTAAGTCAGAAAACCTGGGGTATGGTGCTGAGTCTGGGGGCCCACAGAGCTAAGCAACACGGGTTGGGCCAGAGGAAATCATTCAGAGAAGGCTGGCCACACTGGAGGGCATGAAGGTGAGGATCCCAGGTCCTGGCTTCAGTCCCCGCTGGACAGTGAGGACAGTGTGGGCACAGGTGGAGGTGACAGAGAGCCACAGAAATCTCCGGCTGCCTAGATGCTGCTGCTAGTGTTCCCAGAGGCATTGAGTGCTAGACGGAGGCAGGCTGCATTACAAATAGAACAGGCATCTAGGAAAAAGGGCCTTCACCTTTCCTGGTCACAGAGGGCCCCAGAGGTTAGACATCATTTATCGGGAATGTAGAGGCAAATAGCCATAGCTAATGTGAGAACATTTATTACTTTTCCAGTTTCGCTGAATAAGCCTCTTGAGACTTTGCTGGTGTGAATATATATGGCCCTACTTCGAGAGCAGGTGACTGGGAGCGTGCTAAATTACAAAAGTAAATAAATAATGCCGATACATCTTCAACACACTGGATTTCTGTCTCAGGCTGCCTGCACATATAAGGAAAATAGAGTTCCTTTTTAATCATTTAAATGTCAACTTCAGACAGTTACTCCGCAGAGAAGAGAACACACGTCCCTCAGAAGCCCAGGCCCCTGGACGTTCTTTCTGGGGTCCAGTGACTTTTACTAGATGTTTAAGAAGGAAGACCATGTGGAAAGCAGAGCCACATCCTTACACAACACTTAAGATGAAGAGCGAGGAGACCGAGGCCGGAGACGCAGCTGAGGCTGCAGAGGCAGTTTTCTCAGAGAGGGGTGAAAACTTAGCTCTCCTGACGGACGGGGTTCAGGACAGATGGACAGCACAGAATTGGTGCAGCGTGAGGATTTCATGTCAATTAGACCCAAACGTCTACCTTGGTTCCACTTCTAACTCTGGGACCCCAAATAAGGCCCTCTCCAATGAGTATCCTAATGTCTGCCTCATAACATGGCTTCATCAAGGAAAACATGAGACTGTATTGGTAAATTGCCAAGTACCTCACCTAGGATGCACTGGGTTCCCAGCAGAGCTAGCTCCCTGCCTCACCCCAGTGATTGTTAGGGTCTAGTCAAACAATGTGAATCTCCCCCATCCCCAACTATTGTCCATTCGTAGGTGAATACCCAATAGTAGTTCTCAAACTCTTTTGACATAAGAATCACTTGATCAAGAGAAATGAGAAGACAAGTCACAAATTAGGAGAAAATATTTGCAAAAGACACATCTGATATAGAACTGATGCAAAATACACACAGAACTCTTAAAACTCAACAACAAGAAAACAAACAACCTAAATTAAAAAATGGACCAAAGACCTTAACAGATACCTCAGCAAAGAAGATATGCAGATGGCAAGTAAGCATATGAAAAGGTGCTCCACCTCATACATCATTGAGAAAATGCAAATTAAGACAACTTTAAGATACCACTACACACCTATTAGAATGGCCAAAACTCAAGACAGTGACACCACCAAATGCTGACAAGGATGTGGAGCAATAAGGACTCTCATTCATTGCTGGTGGGAATGCAAAATGGTACAGCCACTTTGGAAGACAGCTTGGCTGTTTCTTACAAAACTAAACATACTCTTATCATATGATCCAGCAATCATGTTCGTTGGTATTTAACCAAAGGAGATGAAAACTTATGTCCACACAAAAACCTGAACACAGATGTTGATAGCAGCTGTATTCATAATTGCTAAAACTTGGAAGCAACCAAGACATCCTTCAGTAGGCGAATGGATAAATAAATTGTGGTACACCAGATAAGGGAATATTATTCAGAGTTAAAAAGAAATGAGCAGGGACAGGCCTGGTGGCTTAGTGCTTAAGTTCGCATGCTCTACTTCAGCAACCCAAGGTTCATGAGTTTGGATCCCAGGCATGGACCTACACACTGCTCATCAAGCCATGCTGTGGCAGCATGCCACATACAAAATAGAGGAGGACTGGCACAGATGTTAGCTCAGGACCAATATTCCTCACCAAAAAAATTTTTAAAAGATAGGAAAGAAATGAGCTATGAAGTTATAAGAAGACATGGAGGAACCTGGAATGCCTATTACTAAGTGAAAGAAGCCAATCTGAAAAGGCCACACACTGTATGATTCCAACTCTATGACATTCTGGAAAAGGCACAACTATGGAGACAGTGAAAAGATCAGTGGTTGCCAGGGATGTGAGGGATTGGGGGGAGGGAAGAAGAGGCAGAGCACAGAGCATTTTTAGGGCAGTGAAACTATTCTGTATGATACCATAATGGTAGATACACATCATCAGACATTTGTCCCAACCCACAGAATGTGCAAAACCAAGAGTGAACCCTAAGGTACACTATGGACTTTGGGTGAGAATGACGTGTCAGTGCAGGTTCACCAGTTGTAACAGATGTCCCACTCTGGTGGGAATGATGATAAAGGAGGAGGCTGTGCATGTGGGGGAGCAGGGGGTATATGGGAAATCTCTGTACCTTCCTCTCAATTTTGCTGTGAACCTAAAACTGCTCTAAAAAAATAATAAAGTCTTAATGAAAAGAAAAATCACCTGAAGCATTTGTTGGAATGCAGATTCAGCAGGACTGGAGGGCAGCCCGGGAATCTACTTTACGAGGCCTTTCTTCCTCCCCCTCCCACTCAGATGCAACTGGACTACAGACCACACTTGGGAAAACGCTAATAGAGAGAAATCATTTTGATGCACGATCCCAGTAGCCCCTAAACTGCTCTGTGCTTCAGACTAAAATATGAAGAAAATTCAGACTAAAAATTTAGGAGTACCTCACCCCAAGAGACAATAATTCCGTGAGTGGGGTCTGACATTTGTATTTTAATAAGTTCGCTGGTGGTTCTAACATTTAACAGGGCTTGGGAATCGCTGCTTTATCGCTGCTGCAGGGTTGTGGTCCCACCCACTCTGATTCCAGCGGCTCATTTGCATTAACCCATTCACAGGCATCCTGCACTGGATGCCTGCAAGAGGGGAAGGTCTTGCTATCTAACACTCCAGTCAGGGGCTTCATGCAAAGGCATTGCTCACAGGGGTTTGTAATGACTTTGTCTCCACAGCCAGTTGGAGTTTGAGGCCGGTCTTCATTTCTGTTTGTTTTTAAATAAACACACTGTGAGGTGATAGCAAAGTTCTTCAAGGCAGATGTGTTAACTTCATCCTGGAGGGAAGTTGAAAAGAAAGAAGCAAATGAGGCTCACAGATGGCAACGTGGTTTTTAGAGACGGTGGGGATGGTGGAGCGGACAATCCTCCAATAAGCACAACAGCCATCGTGTCCATTTCACGCCCAGACCGCTGAACGTAGCCCACCTCCCAGATGCCGCACTGATTAGCTCCAGGAAGACCAACAAAACGCTAATGTCGGCCCCACAGACACGTCTGTGATCGCCCCTCACCTGCTCTCCACCTGCTGGTCTCCATCGGTCTCTACGGTTCTCCCAATCTTGGAATCATAGCCAGTTTCCAAGTGTACACAGAGTTCTTTTACTTATTACACCCAACTTCCTGCTCAAATCTAGCCAATGTGCCAAGCTGCCAAGACTTTCATCTTTGCGTGAGAAAGTTCTTCCTGTAGCCCCAGGTGAACGCCAGTCACGGAGGCTAAGAGAGAGGCAGGGAGACCATTTAATGGCATTCCAATAAAATGACTGATCACAAAAGTTTCTGCTGTGCAGATAACCAGCAGTGCATTCCAGGAACACACTGCAACCCCTCATCGCTGCACACATCCCCACAAATTCCTATTGTTGAAAATAATCAAAAGCTTCTTTCTACATTTGCTTATTAAATTGTTGAGAAGTTTTCATATTTCTATTGAACAAGAATCCCAAAGTATTGACTTTTAACTCTACTTCACAGGCATGCCTGGAGAATAGGACAAGAAATCGATTTGCTAAAGTCACCAAACCTGTGAAATTTCTGTTTCTCTAACACACTCCGGGTCAATCCTTCGGGTTCTCCATTAAGGAAAGATGACCCCTTCCAAGGACAGCTCCATTTCATTTAGGCTGTTGGCCTTCGCAGTGTATGTTTTATGGTTTCCTGTAAATATTTACTTACTCTCAATGATCTCCATCTACAAGAAGCTATATCGCCAAAGTGTCCTACCCCTGGTAAGTCATTTGTTTGACTTAAGCTTTTTTCTTAGATCCCTTTAAGGAACTCCTAAAAGACATAATCAGAAGCAATTCATTATTAAACATTTACTATGTGCCTGATATAATAGATATGATATTAAACCAATGTATTTCTCATTCCCCTATAAATCGCTTTTGCCCTGGGAATCACATTCTCCGACAGCCTCCTACAATTAAGGCCAAGCAAGAAAGATCAGCCCAGGAAAGAGGGAGCAAAATACAGACACATGGATCTTTTGCCAACTCAAAGCTCACTCTCCTGAATCGTTAGCAAGTTCCTTATCTTAAAAGCCAGGTTGTGTGAGAAGAAAAAAATTCTAAATTATAATAGTGCCCTTTACATGTGCTAAAATCCAGGCTGACCTACATAGAAAGTGCTATCTGTTCATTTTTAAGATAGTAACACCTCGTATTGATTGTTCTTTTTATGACAGGCACTGTTTTGCACTTATTAACTCCATTCAACCTTGTAATGGTCTCCATCTCATTTGTTCACCAATGTGCCCCAAGCTCCTAGGACAAAGCCTGGTATATAGTAGGCACTTAATAAATGTGTGTCAAGTGCATGGACTACTTTATGGGATGTGTGCTATTATCCACATCCTGCAGATGAGGACAGAGGCAAAGAGCAGTTAGGTATATTTTCCAAAGTTTTACAGTCAGCAGTGAGACTAGGATTCAGGATAAGGAAACATCTCCATAAACATCGAGTGAGTTGCTCCAAGTTATTAAAGGCAGAACAGCTCTAGGCTCCCTCCTTTCAGTCCTGTGCAGCCTTCATAGGACTGGCAGGCAATACAAATAAATTATATGTCAGATCCATGTATATGTAATTTGTAGGTATATACACACACGTATATAGCACCTGACACATAATTGGCATCCATGACACACCAGCAGCTTTTCTTTCAGACTCATCCTAAAAACAAGCAAAATTGTAGGTGTGAAAAAGTGCTTTGAAAGATGTGAAACACACTCATTCAAGATGTCGTAAAAATAACCACGAACATTTTTAACAGTACCGCCTGGGGCCAGCCCCACGGGCTGGGATCTGTCTTCTTCACGCCTGATACCCACTGCCAGCTGCGTCCCGCCCTGAGTTTTGAACGATAGGCAGGCTCTCCTCACATCTGTCAAAGGAACCCTACTGGTGTCTGACCGAACGTTGCCAGCTGGCTGGAAAGGGAAGAAACTTCTATTGATCATGAGTTTTCTGTTTCAGCTACTATACTATTTATTCATTGATTTAATATCAAATATCTATTGAACACCTACCATGTGCCAGACATGGCGCCAAACAACTAGGAGACCCCTGAGAGCGACTTCAGTGCCCCCACAGTTTATTGCATTTGATCCCATGAACATCTCCTTAGACGGATCCTCTTGTTACCATCCCCATGTTGCAGATGAGGAGATAAGGCCAAACAAGGCTAAGTAACTTGTTAGGGGCACACAGCTCCATGACGGGGCGGGATTTAAACATGCAGTTGACTCCAGAGTCAATGTGAAGAGAACTCAGAGAAACGTGAAGTCTCTCCTCTGTCGATTTTTGTCCCATTTTGCCTACTTCGACTGCTCCCTGACATACAACTCTTGGCTCTTCCTATTCCGAAGCCATGGAAAAACTTTCTGAGAAGTTGTGACAAGAAGTAAGTGCAAGTCAGAACAGAACGTGCTTGACCCCACCCCTCAGTTCTTCTCCAGTCTCTGCCATGGGAGCAGTCTCTGACCTGTCTCACCTCCTCAGCCAAGAGCAAGAAAGATGCACCAAAGGGAGCAAACACCTCACGGCCCGGAGCCCCCAGGATAGAGACAGGCCAGTGGCCAAATAACTCCCTCCTATTAGCAGTCCTCAAAATTCGTACTTTTCTGTAGTTCCTAAAGGTGTAAAATTCCATATATCTCCAACTTACTAATAAGTTATCTACTGAGTGAGATATTAAAGGTTATAAAATTTATTATTATAAACTAAAATTAGAGTCTCCCAAGGATGTGGATTCCATTTTCTGCTAAGAAGGCTGACTTCCTCAAAACGTCCCGTTATGTTGCACAGTCCCTACTGTGGAGCGTAGGATCACCGGCACTTTACGGCAAGGACCCACAGTGACCACTGCATCACCAGCACTGCTCTGGGTGGACACTGGCTTCTTTCTGCCATTCTTGCTTGTAATGATCATTTCCTGTTGCTTTAGCAGCAATATCAACTTAAGTTGTTGTGGGGTGTTTGCTTAACCGTGCAGTAGATATTGATGGGTTATCTAATAGTCTAACGCTAGACTTTGACATCATACACTCTGGTTCAAATATGCATCACCTGTATTTCACTGATAAAGCAGATTTATACATAATCACAATTTTTTAATGTATGGTAATGCTTGATTGGTGTTGCCTGTGAATTTGAGCCATTCAAAGTTGGTATAACAGCATTATGCTTCTGGTATGGCTAAAACAGCTCCAGCTGAGCCAGCCATCCCACAGATAATACCACACTCTAAACAAAACACGAACAAATACCTGAAGTTACTGGAAAGTAAAAGAGCAGAGAGATTCGGAGAGAAGGGAAGAGCAGGGTGAGTTTCACTGTTTTAAAGACTTAACCCTGAGAGCAGGCCACAGCTGGCACCACCAAATAGCTAAAACTCCAGTAGAAAAGCTGCTCTTTCTGTCCTGAAAACTAGGTAACAAAATTCACTGTAACCAACACTGCTGGAAAGCAAGTGGGGGAGGTCTCAAAAAGGAGAGAAAAAGAGTAGGAAGCCCCAAATTCTGCACATAAACTCTGTCCAAACCTCTGTCCCACCTCTGAATCATGCACACATGGAGCAGATTATTAGAAACTAAAATAAAAATAACAGAGCTGAAATAAAACCTGAAAATCTTCCAAAGGGACAAATTTTTCTGTCTGAACCCAGTCAAGTTAACATTCTGTCAGAACGAAAAATGAACACTCTTCAGAGACGTATACAGAATCCAGAACCTGCACAATGTTACAGTAACACTGTCCCACATACAGTCCAAAATCACTCAACAAACAAGAAACAGGAAACTGTAATCCATTCTCACAAGAAACTATAATCAACAGAAACCAACCTCAAAATGATTGAGAATTTGGAATTAGCAAGAAGGGACTTTAAACAATTATTATAACTGTGCCCAATGATGTAAAAGAAACTATGGTCATAATGAATAAAAAATACAAAATCTCAGAAAGTTAATAGAAAATATTAAAAAGCAAAAAGAAATCCTAGAACTGAAAATACAATATTTAAAATTTCACTGTATGGACTTGACAGCAGAGTGAATATAGTACAGTCAGCCAACTTGAAAATAAATAGAAAATATATCATCTGAAAAAGAAGAGATAAAAGAAGGAAAAAAAATAAACAAAGCCTTGGGGACCCATAGGACCACATCAAATTGTGTGATGTGCATGTAATTAGAGCTGCGGGAGGAGACAACAGAAGCAGAGAAAATAATGAGCAAAATTTCCCTGACTTTCATAAAAAACGTAAGTTTACAAAGTCAAGAAACTCAATAAACTCCAAGGAGAATAAAATGAAGAAAATCCCACCTAAGCAAATCATAGTTAACCTACTGATAACCAAAATAAGATCATTTTGAAAGCAACCGAAGAGAAAGGACACATGATACCTAACAGAAGAGCAGCTCAGATGAGTTCTGACTTCTCATCAAAAGTCATGGAGGCGGAAGCCTGGGTACCAACATCTTCAAAGTGCTGAAAGAAACTGTCAGCCCAGAATTCTAACCCAGCCAAAATATCCTTTAAGAATGAAGATGAAATAGACATTTTTAGATAAAATAAAAATAAAAGAATTTTTCACCTTATAAGAGAGTCTCAAAAAAATTCTTTAGGGGTTGGCCCTGTGGCCGAGTGGTTAAGTTCACCTGCTCCGCTTTGGCGGCCCAGCATTTCGCAGGTTCGGATCCTGGGTGCGGACATGGCACCGCTCATCAGGCCATGCTGAGGCAGCGTCCCACGGAGCACAACCAGAGGGACCTACAACTAGAATGTACAACTATGTACTGGGGGGTTTGGGGAGAAGAAGAAGAAGAAAAACAAAAAAGAAGATTGTCAACAGATGTTATCTCAGGTACCAATCTTTAAAAAAAAATTAAATTCTTTAGACCAAAGGCAAGCAATAAAACAGAAACTCAGATCTTCAGGAAAGATGACTATCACTGGAAGTATTAAATTCCTGAGTAAATATAAAAGATTGTCTTCCTCTTAACTTCTCTTTATATGACTATCTAAAGCAAAAATTAAAATACTGTCTGTGGGAATTATGAAATATATACGAAAACCACAGCCTACTGGGAAGCAGTGGGAGGCATGGACCTACATAGTTATGATGTTTTCACGTTTTGCATGGAGGTAAAATACTGTTAACATTAAAATTAAGGAGTTTGTTTTAATCTCTAGAGCAGCCACTAAAAATATAATGCAAAGAGGTATAACAAAAAAGTCGAGATAAATTAAAATTGAATTCTAAAACAACAATCAAAGAACCCAAAAGAAAATAAGAGGAACAGAGAAACAAAATATCAGAGGGAACCAATAGAAAAGAAATAAAAAAGCTTAATAAACACAATTATTGAGTTATTTTGAGGTCATTGAGCACTGTTCTATATTAAAAAATGCATACAAGTTCATATTTTTCACTAGAAATTACAAACTTTCTTTTGCACATTCCTCTCAGATTATGTATTAGCATTAAAATCTCCGAGTTGAGAAGTGGGAATGTGTGGAGTAAATGGTCCACAGCTAAGACATTCATAGTCACTGCCTTAAAGATATTCAAAAAGTTCTGTATATGACAGCCCTGAGTAAAATTTTGAGTCCAACACCATTTCTTCAATTTTTTTCTTCCATTTCGTTTACCCCAGTTTTCCCATACTCCATCTTTTGCCCATAATGTTCTCCCTTCCTGGAATATCCTCATCTCTTTCCTCTTAATCTCCTTATCTTTAATGTCTCCCTATCAATCGCCCTTATTCCCTCCACTTCATTCTACACAGCAGCCAGACTAATACTGTCAAAAAAAACCAAGGATCTTTCATTCCACAAATATTTACTGAGTTAATACTATGTGCAGTGCTTTAATGCTGGCTTCCTGGTACATGGCGATGAACAAATAGATTTTGTCTTTTTCACAAAAGCAGTAGGAAATCATTAAGGTATCTGAGCAGGGAAGTAACGTGACAAGACTCGCATTTACAAACGCTCTGTCTGTGAAGAGTAGACTGGAGGGCAGTGTGAACGGCTGATGAAGAGGACAGGCCTGTTCTGCGATTCGGGAGAGAGGAGCAGGGCGCTTGGACGTGGCTAACAAGACTGAAACTGGAGATGCTTCTCTGACATTATGGATCTGAAAATATTTTAGAAGGAAACTGGCAGGACTTGGTGGTGCATTGGTTATAGGGGGTGAAGGAGAGGGAGGTTTCACGAATGGTTCCTGGTTGTCTTTTGCGGACGGCCTGCTGAAGAGGGTGCCATTGGCTGAGCTGGAGGAGAAGGGCAAAAACGAAGATCCTGAGTTCGTCTGGGGATATTTTAAGTTTCAATGATGCTAAATTCTCCAACTGGAGCTGTCTTTCATTCAGTGCAGTATCCAGTACCCAATACAGTGCATATGTCAAAATAAAAATTCAATACGTGTTGTTAGCTGACTCACCTGGAATCAGAGGAAAGGAATAATCGTTTAGTAAGCGTTGACTTCGCCAGGCATTCTGACAGACATTTTATTCGCATCATCTCATTTAATCCCACAGGGAGAGCTCAGCTTTAATAGTCTGATTCCAATTTTACAGATTAGGGAACAAACTCAACAAGACAAGAAAATCGCAGAACCAAGATTAGAACTCAGATCCACCTATTTACACATCCCTTGCAAAGTCCGTGTTCTTGGCCCCCTTCCCAACCACCACCATCTAATGTTTATTTTATGGAAAATAAAGCAGCTTCTTTCCCTACATCTTAGAAAATCTCTCCTTCTTTCTTCCCCATACTCATTTCTCTTCTCCCACTAAGGTCTGGATACTTCAGAACAAAATTCAGCAATCTCTCCTTTGCTTCTACTCAAGATTAAGAGAAAGGAATCTGCTGCCTTCTCCACCAGCACTTCACTTTGGAAAAATAAAAACAGAAAAATGGAAAAGGATCCCACTGCTACAAGATTATGGATGCACTCATATCGTGTGTATTTTTCAAAAATTTCAAGGAAGCTGAAATCTGATTTAATCTATGACATGTTTGTACTAAATTACTTAACCACATCAAAGCATCGATGGCCTCACACTCTGGGAAGAGGCATTGTAAAATGGTTTTCAAATATATAATGCAGTCTCTCAGGTGCTTGAGACAGCGACGCCCATCTCTGAATATAAAGCTTCCTTACCCTCTGAGATCAAAACAACAGAGCCATTATTTGAGAGGCTGGATGAAATACCAGAGCCATTTCTTATTAGCTTCAGTCATTAAAGAGACTTTAGTAGCCTGGCTATTTATGCATTTTTTTTCCTTCCTTTAAAAAAAAGGCAATCTTAATGGAATGAAAGGGCGGAAGATTTTGAAGATCAAGATTACGGGTAAATTTCCCACTAATTACAATGTCTTCTGCTTTCAGAAAAGAAAACTCAAACCAGTTTTCCAATTCCCCCCTCCAGCTCATGCTAAACATTTAAGAAAGCAAAAAGAGATGTTAAGCATCTTGTCCTTCCCTACCAGTCGGGAAAATTACCACTGCAAGCACCAGTGAGAGGTATCCTTCTGGAATGTCGAGTGCACTTTCCCACAGCAGTAAGACTGTGAGCACAAGCTGAATTCCCAGTAGGACCCCCCGAAGCCCTCAGCCAATGACGGTGTTGTAGGAGAGCAGTGCTTCGGCACGAAGGCAAGACCCTAGGAATCTCAGAAACATCAGAAACACGTCTCATCTCCCTCTCTCTCCTGGTAGCAAACATTTTGAAAGCCATACGATAGTGGGAATTCAGGCGTTGTACGAAGAAAAGAATATCCGAGAAGGCAGCGTTGCATAATCTTAGCAGCACAGGCTCGCGGGCCAAATGACCCGGGTCTGCACCTGTCTCCAAGCACTTCCCAGCTCCCAACATTGGACAAGACACGTCTTTATTCTGTGCCTTGGTTTCCACATCTCCACAATAGGAATTTAGGTAGTAACCTTATTAAATAAGTTATTGCTTTAAAAGAACAGCTCCAGGTACAAGTAAGTACTCAATAAATGTCAACTATTATTTGTAATCTACTACATATTTTATCTCATTTAGTCCTTGATATGACCCCTCAAGATAAATATATTCATCTTCCATTTATAGATGAGAAAGTGAAGCCTACAGAAGTTCAGAGATTTGCTCAGGGAAAGTTATAAAAGATCATTTTTAAAAGGTAGAGCCAGATGTCTAATCCACTTCTGATTCGCAGATTCCAGGCTCTGGACTGTCTGACCACAGTGCACACCTGTGCAGTGCAGGCTCTGGAGGAAGGCCCCTCTGCGGACGCCCCCTGCCCTTCGCCGGTTCCTCAGCCACTGCCCCGCAGAGGACAAGACTGACGACGGCTCAAACTCTTTCTCCCTGTCCAGGGCCCACGGAGGGGAGTCTGCCCAGCTCCCTGTCGGCACGGGCCACGCTTCCCTGGATATCTGACCTTTAAATCGGATATTCAGTGGTCCAGGAAGCCCTGTGTTTTGAATTTCGATTGTGGCTTTCTGGCGAATCCATGAGTGTGAACTCTGTGAAAACGCCACAGGCCTGTGGAAGTCCTTGTGGGTGTAATTAGTGACCGAAGTGAAAGTGACCGACCATTTACAGTCAGAGTCAGAGCTAACGGAAGTGTTCCAGGAAGGACGAAGCCAACACCCAGGGAGGGCTGGGACCCACAAGGCCAGCTGGACGGAGGGACACTCTCCAGAAACCAGCTGTGCCCGAACTAAGACGGTGTTCTCCTCACAGGCCTGACACAGGCTTGGTCCCAGTTCTTTCCCGTTCAAAGACATCAGAGACAGAGCTGAAGAAAACAGAGCGCAGACAGACGGGTGAGGAACAAAGTCCTCAGGCCTAGAGAACAGGTCTGGTGGCAGTGGCTTTCCTCAGGGAGGAGATGGGACCAGAGACATTTGACTTCACGTCACCTCAATTTCTGCAAGCGTCCCACACACCCAAAACCTTCTCAATTATCTTAGAAACGTGTTTTGATTATGAGGAAGTTTCCTTTAAGGGATTATGGAATCCCCAGACTGGAAAGGGGTCGACCTTGTGGAGCACCTGCCATGTGTCCAACATTGTGCTCTCACCGAGAATCCTGCCGGCAGCCCTGGATCCGTGACTCCATCCCAGCCGAGGCTCAGAGCTGAGGGATGCCCAGAGGCACAGGGCCGGGCAGGGGCTGCCCCGCCCACTGCAGAGAGCTGCTCACTCAGGTCCCGACCCCCTCTGACGTCATCCTGTCCCGCCTCCATCACTCCCTGGACATCATCTCCACTGGCAGGCTTCTCAGTCTTCATTTGCAGACTTCGTACAGAAGGAATCTCACTACTGCTGGGTTTTAGTGTGGTAAAATACAAATAGCATAAAATTCGTCATTTTAACCATTTTACAACATAGAATTCAGTGGCATTTAGCACATTCACAAGGCTGTACAACAACCTTGTTACCACCATCTAGTCACAGAAAATTTTCATCTCCCCAAAAGGAAACCCCACACCCATTAAGTGGTCACCCCCGTTCCACCTTCCCCACAGCTGCCGATCAGCTCTCTGTCCCTGGGGAAGCAGAAGATTTCACTCTACCAGCTTCACAAAAGCCTGAAGCCCCTCCAGTGAGGAGACGGAACCCACTCAGTAGCTTAAACA